GATGGCACCAGGCATCCAGGCCCAGAATCCGGACCGGGGACGGGGGACAGAGCGCCCTCGAATGACTGGGACAGGCTCCGCAGCCTTGGGCAAGTGTCCCTCTTGCAGCCGTTTCCTTATCTGCTAACCAGAGCGGCTGAGGTGCGCCTGCGGCGGCCTGGCACAGCCCCGGGGCGCGGTGGCTGGCGCCTCACGTCGGCTGCCTTAGCACACAGGAAGGGGGCTCTGGAGCCTGGTTTGGAACCCAGACTCCGACGGAAGGTTGAAGATTTCTACTCCTTGGTTAACTGTGTCCCAAAGTGTGTTTCTTTGAACGGAGTTACTCAGAAAAGGACGTTTGGAAAACAGGCTCGAACAGGTGACCTTCCTGCGGGACTTGGACGTGCTAGGGGACAGCAGAGCTAGTGGACCAGGGACGCTGGGTCCAGGACGTGGGTCCACACGTTCCAGGATTCTGTTCTCCAGGCCACACCTTGGGGAAGGCTGCTCCATGCGTCCCTCAAATTCCTTTTCTCCCCCAAACTCCCTGCCCTCCAGGAACAGCAAACCAAGAAACCGCCCATCGTTCCGCCAGATCCTGCTGCACTTGGACATCGCCTCAGCCGACGTCCTCTCCACACCCCAGGAGACCTACTTCAAGTCCCAGGTATGCGTGGGCGGGCGAAGGACGAAGCCCTCTGAGGGGGGTGGACTGGCTGGTAGCTTAGCCCTCCCAGGAGACCCCCTCCTGACCAGTCTAGTCTGGAGCCCACTCCCGCTTTGCTCCCGGCCCGCGGCGGGGCAGCACCTGCACGGGCTTCCCACGGCTCTGCTGAGCGAAGGGAGGCCCCTCACCCCCCGCCGTCTCCTCACCCCCAGGCAGAGTGGCGCGAAGAGGTAAAGCTGCACTTTGAAAAAATTAAGTCAGAAGGGACGTGTCTGCACCGCCTAGAAGAGGAGCTCGTGATGCGGAGGAGGGAGGAGCTCAGGTGTGCACCCGGGCTGAGAAGGGGGTCGGTCCCGGCAGGGCCAGGCCCCGTGGACCGGTTCCCAGAGGCTGGCCCAGAGGTCAGACAGCACCAGGTGACACTGGCTCACCTGAGACCCTTCTGCCCGTTTCAGACACGCCTTGGACATCAGGGAGCACTACGAACGGAAGCTGGAGAGAGCCAACAACCTGTACATGGAACTTAATGCCCTCATGCTGCAGCTGGAGCTCAAGGAGCGGGAGCTGCTCAGGTAACCTGTGCGCACCCCACGCACCCGTCTCCAGTGTCCGTGGCGTGGTGACGCAGAGACTACTGAGCCTGGGTCCCCCTTTCTGATCACACGCCCAAACGAGGGGTCTTGTCTTTAGGAGGGAGCAAGCTTTAGAGCGGAGATGCCCGGGTCTGCTGAAGCCACACCCTTCCCGAAGCCTCCTGCACGGCAACACAATGGAGAAGCTCATCAAGAAGAGGAACGTCCCACAGAAACTGTCACCGCACAGTAAAAGGTGGGGCCAGAGCTCGTGAGTGCTGAGGGTTCAGAACGGCAAGGGGCGCAGGGGCGCGCTGAAGCAGGGCAGGGGTCCGGGACCCCACGAGGCCGCTCTGCAGGTGGGCGGGACGTCGTCCGGCCTACCCCAGGTTGGGACCTGTTAATCTCGGACTTGTACTCTCCCTCCCCTACCAGGCCAGATATCCTCAAGACCGAATCTTTGCTACCTAAACTCGATGCTGCCCTGAGTGGGGTGGGGCTTCCTGGGTGTCCTAAGGGCCCCCCCTCACCAGGACGGAGTCGTCGTGGCAAGACTCGGCACCGGAAGGCCAGCGCCAAGGGCAGCTGCGGAGACCTGCCTGGGCTTCGCGCGGCTTTGCCACCCCATGAACCCGGGGGACCAGGAAGCCCAGGGGGGCTAGGAGGGGGACCCTCAGCCTGGGAGGCTTGCCCTCCAGCCCTGCGTGGGCTCCACCACGACCTCCTGCTACGCAAGATGTCTTCATCGTCCCCGGATCTGCTGTCAGCAGCACTGGGAGCCCGGGGCCGCGGGGCCACAGGGGGAGCCGGGGATCCTGGCTCACCACCTCCAGCCCGGGGAGACACCCCGCCAAGTGAGGGCTCAGCACCTGGCTCCACCAGCCCAGACTCACCTGGGGGAGCCAAAGGGGAGCCACCTCCCCCAGTAGGGCCTGGTGACGTTGTGGGGCTCCTGGGAACTGGAAGGGAAGGGACGGCGGGACGGGGAGGAAGCCGGGCTGGGTCCCAGCACTTGACTCCAGCTGCACTGCTGTACAGGGCTGCTGTCACCCGAAGCCAGGTAAAGTACAGGTAGTTCCTAAGCTCTTCCCCTTTCCTTGTTCTCCCTGGGGCTGAGTCCGTAGCTCACCTCCCTCGTTAGGTTTTCATCTTAGGCCAGTCCCTCCTTAACCCTTAGGACTACGTTCCCTTTTCTTGATTCTTCGCTGACCTATTCCCACTTATGACAATCCACTCCTGTCTCCTGCAGAAACGTGGCATTTCATCAGAGGAAGAGGAAGGAGAGGTGGACAGTGAAGTAGAGCTGACATCAAGCCAGAGGTGAGAGACATGCAGTACAGGAGGTAATGACACTTTCGCTTTTGGGGCTACAACGTGTGCCAACTGTAGCCCCTGCCTCTCCACCATGCAGGTGGCCTCAAGGTCTGAACATGCGCCAATCACGCTCCACCTTCAGCTCAGAGAATCCATCTGATGGGGAGGAGGGCACAGCCAGTGAGCCTTCCCCCAGTGGCACACCTGAAGTCGGCAGCACCAACACTGATGAGCGGCCAGATGAGCGGTCTGACGACATGTGTTCCCAGGGCTCAGAAATCCCACTGGACCCCCCTGCATCGGAAATGGTTCCCAGCCCCGAACCCAGCTCCCTACCCATCCCCCCCCAGGACCTACCCAGAGGGGAGCAGGTGAGTCACAGAAACAGCTAGGTATTAAGGAGCAGATGCTTCGTTATTTGAGACCTACTGGGTGGAGGTGAAGAGGCCAAAAATAGCGGTATTTAGCCTCCAAGTCACTCAGTGTCTGAGCCCAGTTAGCCCCCCCATCAGAGAGCAAACGTCCAGAAGGTAGACTCCGAGAGGCCCATAGTACAGAGCGCACAGCACGGTTAGTAGGTCAGTAGAGGTGCTTGTGTGGTAGCTGTAAACCGCAGCCAAGAGGCATCCTGAAGCCGGGAATCTGGGGCCTTGACTTTTAAAGGCCTCAGCAACTGAAACCCGAAGACCGTGAACTCAGTGAGCTGCTGGCTATTACAAAGACCTTAGTGAAGGAAGGGTCCTGAAGGAATCTATTTGTAACACCGAGAGCAGCTGAGCGACACCTCACTGCACTTCTGCTCTTCCTCACAGGGCCCCCCCAGTAACGAGGACTCAGACTGTGACAGCACGGAACTGGACAACTCCAACAGTGGCGAAGCCTTGCAGCCTCCGGCCTCCCTCCCTCCATGAAAGCCACTCTTATTCCTGTACATAGAGAAATTATTTATATAAATAATATATAAGCGCCACATAATCAACAGAGAACGATGGGGCTGTCCCAGCCTTAAGTCAGGCTCGAGGGAGTCTGACCCCTGACCAATTCACCTGGCAAACTCTAGGGATCCTGGCAGCTGTGGAAATGAAGGACAAGTACTGCCCTAGAGCTGTGGGTATGGGCAAACTGGCCCCTTCCTGCTTCACCCCATTATGTTCAGCAAGCGGTAAGGCAATAGAAAAGCCAGACTTGCCTCTTATGTTCCTCTATATTCTTTCCCCCCAGCCCTGGGGAGGAGGAGAGGGAGCCACTTAGACTGCACTTTTTTGTTTTCCGTTTACTCTGTTTACACATTTTGCACTTGGGAGGAGGGAGGCTAAGGCTGGGTCCTCCCCTCTGAGGTTTCTCAGGTGGCAATGTAACTAATTTCTTTGTCCCTCCATTTCTCTGCCCAAGCCCTGGCTTAGGGCCTAGGGGGAGGTCAGGAGATTGTGAAAGCATGTGATGGCTCAGGCTGAAGAAATGGGATGATGTTTTAAGTCCCTGCTTTTATCCTGGTGCCTGATTGGGGTGGGGACTGTCATATTGTAACCCCTGTGAAAAATCTTAAAATATAACCACTCCATGCAGGCCCAGCTGTTGAGGGTTTTCTTGGTAAATGAATATATGGGGTAGTACACATAGTTCAAATAGGAGCCTTGGGCTCCAGACATTCTCTGAGGACTCTGGATGAGTTATTCCCTCCTCTCAGGCTCCCCCCCCCCCCCCCACTAAATGAGTATCACTTAAAGTTCCAGCATTCTAAAATTATCTGCATAAATGGAGGCAGATACATCTTTCTGAAAAACTGTAGCAGGACAGAAAATGTTAAAACACATATTCTTATGGTAAGAACTGTAAATGAAGTTACTCCTAACAAGACGCTGGTTTTTAGTCTGGCCAAGGATGGGACAGACATGCCCAGTGACCGGAGTCTCAGACACTCGCATCCAACTGCTTCCATCATATGCATGTGCGCCCTTCCCCACCCCCTGCCCACCCAGAAGTGCTTGTCTACTCTTTGCAGACAAGTCTTAGGTAAATGTAACCCTCGAACTTTTGGACAAAGGGTACACAGCCAGCTTGCAACAGCTATTTGGTTACTTTGCAAGGTAGGCTCAAGGGCTACAAAAAAAAAGATGGAGTGGTAAAACAAGAAAACATCTTAACTGGAATAAAGGCTTATATTCAAAACCCAAGCAGGGTCCTTGTCCTTTGAGGCATAAAAGGTGCAAAAAGAACAGCAAGACAACAGGAATAAAACCCACATGAATCACTGTGGCATCCAGTTTCTATTCACAAAGAAAAAGCTCCAGTCCATCTTTTAATTTTTTTGAAAAATTCCTGACATTACAGAACTAAACTGAAATGTATTAATATTCCACTCTTACATTTCCATGACAAACAGAAAAATTCATGAGCCAAAAAAAAAGGGGGGGGGGAGAAGCTTATAAAACTAAATATGGATCTCAGCATTAACAGCTGAACAGAGAAAGGAATTAAAACGCTTTAATTAAAAAATCACGAGTGGATGATAAAGTGTGTAGAAACTGAAAATTTACAAACTATTTAAAACCTGGAATCGCTGACTGTTCAGAAACTACACAGATGGATCATGGGTGGTGGTGAACAGCAGAAAGGGATTATGGATGAATCTGCATTGTTCTAGCTGCTCCCCATGCCACCCGTCTCCGAGGAAAGCCTGTAACACAAAAAATAAACTCCAAGTTAGTTTTCTGAATGCCCAGCTGCATCTCACCTCCGAAACGTGCAGTCTGGTTGGTGAAATGTAAAGGAAGAGTACACAGTATTCAATGTCAGGGGAGACATTTTAAGAGTTCCTGGATTAATCCTGTAACCCCAGCAATCCAAGCTTTCTGAGGACCAAAAGAAACAGATTCTGATTACCAATTGTAGGTGTTCCTCTAATGATGCCCTTTGGAATCTTCGTGGGAGATGTTAAATGCTTTCCAAAAATATTGCATACACTAAAACCTCCTCTTACAGGGTCATACTACACAGAAGCACCTTTTCTTTACTGCTGAGCTTATTTTAGCTCCTCCCAAGCTACTGATAGAAAGCAGTTTCGGGGATCCCTGGGTGGCGCAGCGGTTTAGCGCCTGCCTTTGGCCCAGGGCGCGATCCTGGAGACCCGGGATCGAATCCCACGTCAGGCTCCCGGTGCTTGGAGCCTGCTTCTCCCTCTGCCTGTGTCTCTGCCTCTCTCTCTCTCTCACTGTGTGACTATCATAAATAAATAAAAATTTAAAAAAAAAAAAATTTAAAAAAAAAAAAAAAGAAAGCAGTTTCAGAAATCTTTATCTGAAAGTAGCCTCATGAGGCTAATGTTGAGACAGATCAAAAAAGGCTTCAGTCCTGGGTTTCTCTAGCATTGTAAAAGCTATTCCTATCAGATAATTTATATAGTTTTAACCACTAAGGAATGTTAAAAGAAAAAAGGAATAGCAAGTATAGTCAAGAATTATACCCAACCTATACTCTTCAGAACTTAAAAAGCAGAAGCCAACATGTTTCGAAAATTCCCTGGTTCACTCCAAAAGCTCTGAAACCTTTGGTCTCTACAGCCAAACATACCCAGCCAGCTACAATGCCTTTCTGTCTCAAATATATCATTTGAGGTCCTGGAACCCAATTTTGAGCTCTGAAAGAAAAGTATTTAGGCGTTTATAGCCTGCCTTGCTGATTATCACATACCCATCAAGTTTTAGCTCCTGCTTTGAATAGAACTGAGTGTGTAAGACTCAGTTTCAATTCATAAATTTCATGAGGATTTTTGCCTGATCGGTATAACCTATCTGTGGTATCTAGTCAAGAGAAAATGAATGTTCTTTGCCATCTCTAGGCCTTCCACAACAATGAAAAGCCAAAGGGGGGAGGGACGGGAAAGACGGACATGACAAAACACCCAAGAACCAACCAGGAAATAGGTCCTTCAATTACGAACCGTATTTAAGTCTGAAATAGTGTTTCTAACCTCATCAGCATATTAGTTCTTTTACGGGGGACAGATTCTTGCCAACACTAGAATAGGATGACTTAGAGCAACATAAACAGTAAAGCATTGAACCCAAGAGTTTAGTGGGGAGTGAAGGTTCAGGAAAAGAGCTGCTGGAAACAGTTTAGATCTAGGCCCCAAATAAATTAAGTTCATCCAATAAAGTGATGGTACTCTGGTATCAAAAAAGGGCTATCCAGAACTTCTACACAGCCTAAGCAGTGACTGAGGCAGGATGTGGAAAGGGGCAAGAAGCAAAAATCCAACCAAAATATCATGCTATTATGCTAGGACTCTATGATAGAAGAACCACATGGGGGAGCTGAAAAGTTTTTTAATTTAACACCAAACACCTCTGGAGGTGGCGGTGGCAGTTAGCATCTTAAGATTCTGCTTCCATGCCCGCAACCCTTCTACCATTAGGGAGTACTCATTAGTTAAAGAGGCCTTCAAATCAAGAACTAGATAAAATAAAAACCTGGTTGGGGGGGTGGTGGCGGCAAAGGACTCCTATTTAGAGAGAGCTTATTGAGAGAACTGGACCACATGATAAAGGAGCAACCAGCAACTAGCAAGGGAAAACTCTCTGGACGATGAACAGGTTGCTCCTCTAGTCCTTCCTGTACACTTGGGACATGTAACGCCAGTTCCTAGGCCCAATGTGGGACTGAGGAGCCACAAGGGTATGAGATTATACACGGCAATACTTACGAGCAATTAGGTTTGGTTTTTTAATACTATAAACCAAATGAGATGTGGGAAATGATCACCAGAAAAAAATCTGTAGCTTCTGCCATCATACCTATAGCATTTCTAGTCTTTTGTGGAAAGAGAGGTCTTGGGATAAGAAAAACCAGGCTTCAGAGAGATAAAGTATACTTGAGTAAAAGTAAAGCACAAGTGGTTAGTGCTGACTAGTCACTCGTGAACTGTGAATTGAAATTCTCCAAGGCCTTTTTTTTTTTTAATCCAATAAATGAGTTGACTGGTGAGTTACAGTTGATCTTAAAAGTTCCTTCTAAATATAAATTTGTAATTCCCTCCTCATGACAGGGTTGGTGGGAGGGAGACAGAAGGGTGGGCAGGGAAATGGAAGGAAAGGTAAAGGGACTTAGTTGATTAATCAGGGTAGGTTTAGGATTACTGGAGAATCCTGTCAAATTTTGGGTGTTACAGGTTGGTTGTTCAAGACTAACCCCAGTGTCACAGTAAAAGGGTACTTCTCATTCAGAGAAATGCAGACAAAAGCCAGCAAACTTTATTAGACGTTTTTCAACTTGCATCCCATTCTAGGTAAAGAAGTAACTTCTTTGTATGTATGCTCTGTAAAAGATCCTCAGAGTAACCACTCGCCAGAGGAAACAATCCTGGGATGGATACCCTTGTGACCTGCTGCCATTGGCAGGGTAAGGGATCGGAGAAGTCAGAGAAACTGGTCTTCACTAAAGCATCTTAATGCCAATTAAAGAAGACCCCTCAAGAGGTAACCTGCTACAGGCCCATCTCCTTTTGTGGGGAATGACAAAGGACTATTGCTGAATTAGGGACACAAACAGGCACCGAGTCAAGTTTTATGGACTTCCTAGTTGAGTAGCCACAGGTCACAAGCTCCCACCCCTTTACCCTTCACAGCACACAGTCAACTAAAGTTCTTACTGTGGCAACTTTATTACAGCTAGAAACACAAATCCGGCCAAGGCGGCCTGCTGAGAACTTAACCATTAAATAATTTTTAAAAAAAAGGTTAACGGAGAAGCTTTTATTCATTAACACAGAGCCTAACACATTGTTATATTGCAATGCAGAATAAAGCTACAAAAAAGTAACAGAATCAAAAAGAAGAGCAAGAACTGTGGCTCTAGATAGAGAATTCAACAAGTCAGACTCTGAAACAGGCACTCAGATGAAATGGCCTAACCCTAACCCCAGGTTACCATTGCCCCCACCCCCACCCGTTATACCCCAAAATAGTAAAAAGGAAACGGTCACAAGCTCACAATTGTTTGGTTCTCACCAATGTTAACAAAGAAAAACAAAATGAACCAAGAAATACTTGAGGGGTGCCTCAAGATATTCAATCAGTAGGGGAGAATCTCTGTTTCTCGCCTTTCAGTTTGTTAGTTACACATGGCACGGCAGAGGTGGTGGTGGTAGTAGCTGAAGCCCCGGTACCCTTAGCAGCAGACACAACATTTAGAGCCAGGAGAGGGATGGGTTTCATGCCAAGCAGACTGGAGACACAAGGGGCGGTCGGAAGAGGGTTGGGGAGGCTGGAGGGTGCGTCGGAGGTCCCCGCTGTGGCGAGCGAGGGGGTGGTGGTGGAGGAGGAAGAAGAAGAAGAAGGGGTGGAGGGTTGAGAGAGGTTGATGCTGAGGTGATCAGGGATCGTGACGGAGGCTGCCTGGGAGGAGGGTTTAGCGTTTTCTAAACTGTAACAGAGGAAAAAAGGAACAAAAAAAAAAGGGTGGGTGGAAGGGAAGACCACAAAAGGGAAAAAGTACAGGACAAAAACCGCTTGTTATCTGTTAAGTGCCTCTGGTTGTAAATTAGGAAGACCTAATACCATATTGTGATAAGCTGCCCCTTTTTCAGTCTGTGGCCCACCCTCTACAAAATGTATACTTTGCCAAATCCCATTCCACAATGCTATTTAAAACTGCTATGGTGAAGAAAAAGCTGACAGACTAAGAAAAGGAATCACACGGAGCACACTTCCATGTATCGGACACGTGGATCCAATCCAAAAGTCAGAAGGAAATGATTTCAAAGTAGAAAATGAATGAGTATTCTTAGTAATCTCCAAATGAGGAACAAAGGTCTCATACCCACCAATCACTTTTGAAAGTGCAGAATGTTATTCTATAGAATTAGACACTTCCCACCCTAATACTGAAGTGTGCTTCCATCTTCTGCAGTAAACTAGCCAATGTTATCAGGATGGTAAAAAGGAAAGAAACCAAATTAGGTCACTAATTTCAAAATTTCAAAGAATGTAGCATTTTCAAAGAATAATGCTGAGAACAAAAGTGTAGATAACAAGTAGGAAAGTTTCATTTATGGTAAGAAGATGGGGCTGAGAAAAAAAAGCCCTTTGTTTTTAACTGAACATAGTTCTAATACAGACCTTACAAAACTGAAAGATACTCAAGCCCTCCTGAAAAATTCATTTAAAAGCGTAAAAATACTGCCTCGACTTTTAAAATAAAGTCCAAATAACTGTAATGACCAGCAGCTCCCAAATGCCCACGTGTCTAAGCCAGAACTACAGTATTTGTCAAAGACTCTCTGGACAACCTAATCCTATACGATGAACTCTTCAAGGGCAGGGATCCTCCCTAAGATTCCATTTGGTTTACCTAAGTCCAGAAACTGTTACAACTCATAAAGCAGGGGCTAAAGAAAGGACTCAGACTGACAGTTAAGAGCAGAGATGCTCAGAACCCATTACTGAAAGCAGAGAAATCTTTCTTGCCTGCAAGGAATAAAACCAATTGGCTTTTGCATTCGAACTGGGCCAATATAGGAAAGTGCAGAATAAGCTTTGTGCATATACAATCTTTGCTTTGGTGTTAAATGAAGCTTTACAAAGTTTTGACCCAAATCCATAGTTTGGACAGTTTCATTAAACAGGATGACCCCTAAATGGCCAGCCATCTTATAAGGATGGTCCTGAAAAGAGCAACTGAATCACGAAAGTCAGGAGGAGATGTTCCGCTTCCTTATAATGTTGACACTGACCTAAAGGTCAAACAAGTCACTTTCATTTAAGTGCTACCTAACAATATTTACGGCAAGCCTACCCAAGAAGAAGAAAACCCCAGCTTCCAAGAACATGAATCTCACCACTCAAGACCAGCCCTCCCTATACCCCCAATGAGAAACAAAAAGTCAAACCTTTGCAAACAGCCTCTGCAAAGCTTACTACCATTTCCCAGTGAACATGAACAATCTGATGTGCTTGGTAGCAGAAGCAGATCTAGACAGAGAACTAAGTCTTTTCTCCACAAATGCCAGTAATACTTCAAGACATTAAAAGCCTTAAGGCAAAAGTCAACATCACTGGGGAATTGATAAATTCTTAATTAGGAGATAAAAGACAAAGGAATAAATACAAGGTCAGTATAAGTAGAATAAAATAGACTTCATACTTATGAATTCCTTCCCCTGGCACTAGATTCAGGAACTCGGAACACCATTTATACACAGCAAAGACTCAATAGTTATGACAGAGGTGACAACTAGACAAAAATCTACATGAGAAGGATGGCTAAGCCCCTTGGGAAATGCACTAACCCTGGCTTAGCAATGTAAGTAAGCAATTCAGAACGTGACTGAGGCACATGTGCTGAGAAAGCAAGAAATATAAATGCCTTGTAGGATGCCCACTGTCCTATGGCTGTCATGTGCAGTAACATCAGCTAGGTTTGGGTGAGGAAGATAAAACCTCAAGATGCCATTAAGGTATGAGATGGTGGCAAAAAAAGAAAGAAAACAGGCTAGGCATTTCTGAAACAGTCCAAAACCTGTGCCTCCCTTTTCCCACAAGCTCTGAACAATGGAACACATTTGTAACTTGAAAATAATGGATGTTTTCAGAATAAATGATAATGGCTGCTTCCAAGAAACTGTCTTGCTATCATATATACTTCATTATTCTTACTTTAATTAGGGTGCTTTGGAGACTAAACCCCATCAGTGAAAGAAATACTGGTCTATAATATGTGCATCAAGAGACCCACATCTGCTTCTAAGTCAGTATGGGTGCTCCAGTCAGAGCACTATCCTACTAGTGAAGACATGCTCCACTCCTTCCATGCCTAAAACCATCAAAGTCAAATACAAGCATTCTAATCCCCTCCCACATGCAAATTTATTACAATCTTGTTACGGTTTCTGCTTGCTACACTAAGAAGGGATCAAAGTAGGGCTAGATTTAAACTTTATTGCCATCTCCACCCACCCCCACTCTCATCCCCCCAATATTCCCACATTCAATAATACACTGTAGCTTTCCCCAACACACACATTACTTGTGTTGCCAACAATAAACAAAAAAAAGGTAGGGAGGAAACCCTTACCTGACATTGATTAGATATTGAGCCAGGCTAATGCTGGCAGCAGATCCAGTGATGGTAACCTGCCTATCGGTAGATCCTTCCACTGGGTTCGCAATTTTGATCTGCGCCCCAGACATCTGACGGATCTCATTGATTTTGGCGCCTTGACGCCCGATTATGCAGCCAATCAACTTAAGGAAGAAAAACAACAAGGCACACCAAATCAAGAGTTGCACGGCTAGGTCCAAAAATTCCATCCCACCCCTTCAGCCTTCTGTATCTTGGGTCCACAATAATGGCAATGGAAACTATTATCTGCATCCTACACACCCTACTCACATACTACTGATTTAAAAACAAGCTCTAGATTCTATCTCCACTATTGCCAAATTGTCTGACTACTACAGGTCAGTCAACTCACAGCTGACCGACCCTAAGGAGCATTAGGCTCATTTCCTCAAAGTACTAATCCAAAAACAAAACACAGGCCAACATGCTAACAAACCAGTTTCTCCTGGGTAGGCTCCGGTTTTGGACAACAAAATTGCCTAAAACCATCCTGTTACAATTACTATTTTAATATACAGATAAGAAAATATATATATAGATAGATAAGAATTTTGGCTAATTTGGGCGCCTGGGTGGCTCAGTCGATTAAGCATCTGCCTTGGGCTCAGGTCATGATCCCAAGGTCCTGGGATCAAGTCCCGAATCAGGCTCCCTGCTCCACAGTGGAAGCCTGCTTCTCCCTTTCCCTGCCACTACCCCCTGCTTGTGCTCTGTCAAATAAATAAATAAAATTTAAAAATTCTGGCTAATTTACAATGCTTTTGCCTTCAGAAAAAGTAAAAATTGGTCTATATTCATACTGTCCAATACTGCAAACACTAGTAACAGGTGATTATTGAAAATCTTTAGTGTCACTAGTGAGATTGAGCAATTGAGTTTATTATTTTCACAATTTAAATAGCCACGTCATTAGTGACTACCATGTTGGACAGAACATTCAACGACGACTGATGCTTTAAGGATAAGGCTTCAGATCATCCAAGAAACAAAGACCAATGAGAATTTTATCTGCTGAGACAAAATGGGTCTGACTCATGATGCCAATGCAATAGTTTCACCAATTTTCTCCAATTTTTATTCATGATTCTACATACTTTTTGGGATCTAAAAAAACCCCATTTCCTTCCCTAGGCCTTAAGAATGGCATGAAATTTACTCTTTATTTTTATCCCATGCAACCCTAATAACTATACTCACATCGTTTGGAATGGTGAGTTCATGAGAAGTAGTCTGAGCAGATGCATCCAAACCTGCTAAAAGACAGAAGAGAGCAAGGAAGTTCAATGCATAGCAAACAAACCCCCACTGATTTGCACATTAACCTAACAGAAGGAAACAAACTGGAAACCCAGCACTGGCTGTTGGGATTCATCACTAACTTGGAAGCCTCCAAGGAGGAAAGAGGGGGAAAGGGGTACAGAAATAATGCTGGAAAGGTTCCTCTGTAAACTCAGAAGAGCTGATTTCATGCCATTTCCTGCAAAGCCCAGCCTATTAGGGTGTAAGGGGATGGAAGCAAGGGGCAAGGGAATGTGGTAGGACCAAAATCTAACCAAGTCCTTCTGCACTGCTCCCCTTTACTGCTTAGGATTTCCTGCTGCTGTTGTGTTCCAATTTTATCTCACCTGATGCTCACTAGCACCAGTGCCAATATCATGCCTGTTACTGGGTACCATGGACTTTTGGCAGACATGCAGAGTTGCTTTAAATATACCTGTATCAGATTAACACCTCCCCCAATCCTAACCTACACTTGAAGGTCAAAGAGAATGAAATGGCAGCCAGGTGAGGGAAGTTCATTTCTCCAGATTTATTCCCTGTCTTCTCCTCAATTGCTCAGTAATTTGTTCTGGTTTTTATTTTGTTTTCCAAAGAAAAAGAAAAAAAATCCCATCAGCAAACACCCATACCCATCAATAATAATGACACCTGGACAGGACCAGGCCGGCTGGCTAATTCTCAAAGCTAGTCCTGCTCTCAGCTGTGGCTGCTAAACTCAACATTTTTAGAAGGGGGTTGGCCAGATCCATCAAGGGACCCTCAGGGGCACCAGGCCCACCCCTTTGCTCTCTCAGCTCCTTTCTGCCATGTGCATCTTGCTGGTATGTCATGGGCAGTGAAACAAGACTCCCACCAGTTTATTAATATAACAGTAGAATACTACAGATTTTTTTTTTTAATCATTACCCCAATAGCCTTTCACCTCTGGAGAGCTGGATTCAATGCCTGTTAAGATACAAGTGAAAATGAGTTTGGTGGTCTCATCCTAACCCTATCGGACAAGTTATTCCTTATACAGAAAAAAAAGCCCCAAAATCAAAACAAAACAAAACCAAAAAACACTACACAATTTGGCACAAATGGATTCTCTACCCAGATCTGTGAATAGCTGGTGGAGAGAAATGGGGTGCCAATCAGATCAAAGGGGCAGCAGTGAGGATGGGTTAGAAGAAATACCAGCCTACCCTTTGCCTGACAAGCATCCCCAGACCTCACCCCAAACCTTCCAGGGCCTTATTTTTTTTATTTTTTTAATAATAACTCACCCCAAATGAAAACCAAGTTAACAAACACATTACCTCCTTCGGTTTAGCGATAGAAGACAGGCAAGTTTAAACCAGCAGGATGCTGGGTAATGAAGTATGTTTTAAAAAGATGTCAAACTGAGACCTTGGGGCTGGCCTCTGTCTTGCACTACACCTTACAGAAATAAACACTGAGGTATCCATACCACTGAATCCGGTGTTGCCATGCGTCATGGGAAAATGAGACTGTTGCATTGCCAACTGGTGCAGCTTGGTCAACTGCAGGGAGGAAACAGGAGAGGTTGGCATTAGAAGAGTAACAGAGCCAGGGCTCAAGCACATTCAAATTTGAAAATGCAGAGCTCCTGATCCCCCAGGTTGACCCTACTACTCAAACTGTGACACAGGGTAATGATGGGGCTTATCCCACAATCCTGGGCATGGGCAGAATATGAAGGTGAGGTCAGAAAGTACAGAGGGCTCCCGGAGAATGAATGCATTTTGGGTGTGTGAAAAGAAAAGCAGCAGCACCCGCCCAACAACCATCCCCTTGTGGGCTACTTAATGAAGGTGTTTGCAGCCATTGCAACAGTTGCCCCAGGGACAAGCACAGACAGGCTAGGTAAACAAACTGTGCAGTGGTGCTAGGGAAACACACCATGCAGGGTTCTGTCAGTACTGGGAGGAGGGAAGGAGATGAGGGGGCAGGGAGACTGCAAGGGGTTGAGATTAAGATGCAACCAAACTGGGCTCAGCCCCACCCCCTTCCAAAGGATTTCTACAGCTATTGTTCTTCGCCTATATTAACTACCCTGGCTGTCATCAAACAATCCCTCCTCAAGGCTACTTCCCCCTCCTGGGCCAAACACTAACCAGGAACCAAACCCAACTTCCCAAGTCTAATGCTTAGCACCTGAAAGGATTAGTAATGACAGAGCAAAGTGCAGAGAAAAATGCCCTTACACGAAGTCTGAATACCAACACTTTTAACATAAGTGTTTAGTGGCAAGAAAGGTTTTATTGAGCTGAACCCCCAAAATGCTCAGCTTATCCCTCCCTGTGCAAAATAAGCCCCTTTCCCACCCATCCAGATGCTTTTTAAATTGAGGAGTACCCAAAGACAAACCCAACCTCCCACTCCTCCCCCATGGAAAGGACTCCAAGAAGAGATGCACAGTCAGTCCACTGTCAATTTAAACTGTGCCCTGGAATAACAAATGACAACATACCATGGAACATTTCTTTTTTAGACAGAATAATGTGGAACACAGGGTAAAGCAGAATCTAATAATCTGCCGACTTCAAATTTCCAATGATTATGTCAAAAGGCAAACAAGGTGCTACTATGACCCTGATTAAAGATTACTTAGGGGCCAAAATATGGGGTTCACCTTGTGAGGAAAATAATACTGCAAATTTTTAAGACCCAACTCACTTCTGCCTATGTGGAAGAAAGAGTGAAATAATTTTGGATGGGAGAGGGAGCTTTTCAAAACAAGAAGTGAAAACAAAACTTACATCTGGCTGTGGAATGGCATACTGTCCTTGAATGGTATAGGCCTACAAAAGGAGGAAAACAGTTCCTATTAAAAAACCAATCACGGACAGCCACCCAGCGGGAGAAGGGGAGACAGATTTCAACTAGCCAGGAAGCCAGAGTTGAACTAGAGATGGGGGAGGCCAGAGATTGAGGCAGTAGATGGTATCTCACAAACACAGTCAGACCTGAGTTGGCCTTCTTTGAAACCTAAATATGATGCTTTATTCCAGGAAGCCTATGAGGGGAGCCATATTCCCTGCAATCAAAGGCAAAATACACAATTGTTTCTTAAAGGAAAGGTGGGAAGTGGGATTAAGCAATGCCTCAATTGACCAAACCCCCTTCTTTTTCCTTATGTACAAGTCAGCGCAGGAGGAAAATGGTCTCTTCCCTCAACCACCCCAACCCTCATATACCAGTCATGGTGACATGAATGATTTGTATCTGCACAAACCTACGTGGCATGTTTTGAAACACTTCCCTTTCCCTGGCTTATTTTTCTCCACATCTGCCTTAAAAAAACCTTAAATGCACTGGATGCTAGCTGAGTACCTAACACTAGGGAGCTGACCACAGGAATGCAAAATCAATCAATCAAACAAATCACTGTGTTCTAAACCCTGCACCTTCTCCCACCTCCCCCTCCATAAAAGGAACTTGCAGCTCCCACTACACCCTCCTCCCCCCACACCATAACCTCCGAAAAGGGAGCTGGGTCTTAAGGGCAATGGGGTGGGGGGACAAGGAGGAGAAATAGGAAGGGACGGGAAGGAGAGGCTGGTTAACAGGATGTGAAGCTTTTCACATCACAGTGGCCAGTACCCCCAAAAGTGCACCCAGGTGGGGGTGGGAAGGTGAAAATGGGATAGGAAGAGTGGGAGATGGGGAAGAGGGGTTGAACAACAACAAAAAAAAAAAAGAAAAAAGAAAAAAAAGAAAAAAGGAAAAAAGGAAAAAAAAGGAAAAAAAAAAAGAGAGTTGGTGTTACCATCTGGTGGGCTACGCGGCCTGTGTGAAATGATGTGGGGGGGTCAGTCCAGGTCCCCGTGGACAGGTGGTGTCCACAGCACAAAAATCACCAGCGCCACTGGCCCCCCGCGTGTTGGCAGTCTCGGCTGAGGCGGAAGGATTGAGTGAGCCTTGGAGACTGAACATCCCCTCTCACCTCTAGAGGTGGTCCCTCCAGGTCAGGGTTGAGGCACATGGACGGGGTGGTGTGGGGAAAGCTCGCACTGTCGCTGCCTGTGCTGTACCTGTCCTGTGGATAAATAGAGGATTTCAGTCTCCAGGGCTGTCAATCCGGCACCTTGTCACCAGCATGAAATTCACACAAAAAAAGTCGTTTAATTTTTTTCTTTTCCTTTAAAAAGGAGCTCACGACACAATTTGAAACGAGCTGCAATCAGTGAATTCAAAAAAAAAAAAAAAAAAGTTACCTTGTGGCAGGTATCACACTGCACAATTGGGCTGTTTTCAGTAAGAATGAAGGGGTGGGGCAACAGAGCTGATGCCAGCTCCTGATCTGTGTGTGGGATTAACTTGAACCCCTATAGAGCCCACTTTTGTCACAAAGGAACAAAAGATACAGGTCCATCTGTGGACGTTGCATGAACCAGTCCATTTCAAAAGGCCCATAGGAATAATAAGGGCCACTCATGAAAGAAGCTGCAAGCCTTTAGAGGGTGGTCAACTGAATAAGGGGGGGGGGAGGGAGGTGGGGAAGCAAAGAGGTAAGAAGGGGAGGGTGGAAAAAGGAGGAAAGGAAAGGAAAGGGAAATGAAGAATTATAGAGAGGATTGCTGTTACACAGCATGGGACTCTATATAATCCCAAGTGGGAGTGGAAGAATCCAGACGACAGGAACCTGGAGTTCCTGGGGAGAAGGATAGACTCCTAAGGCTAAGCCTCCTTCCTATACTGACTCTGGGCCTTTGTTTTTCTGCCTGACTATCCAGACCGACAGAACCCTTTAACCAATCCGGTTTGTACAAAGCAAGGCACTAAACTGTCTCAAGGTAACACTGTAACATGATTAATTTGTGAAAGCTCCCAAAAGCACTTGACAAACTAAGTCCCCAAAATCTTGTTCAGTTTATGCCAACTCAAAATAGAATGTGAATGAGATGGACTTCAAGTTTATGCTCCCCCCAATTCAAAGACAAGATGGAACGGAGTTAAATGTGCTTATAAAAGGCCAGCCTCTCACTGGGAAAAGGCATTTTGAGCAATGCACTTGCCTAGGTAGCCACCAAAATGAAGGTCACTATTTCAACCTAAACCCCAACACTTAAGAAACTGACCTAACTCCTTATAAATACTAACCAACAAAGCATAAAACTACCATGGTTCTGATCCATGCTCTTGTCATAAAAATCTAACTTCAGAATAAACCATGTGCCAAGGATCAAGAATTTAGGCGGGTGAAGTAGAAAGAGGCCACGGGGGTGCCTTGGTGTTCTTACTCTTAACACCAAAGGTCACAGCACCACAGCCCAACATGCTCTCCCCCTTCTATTCTTGCACACTGAACCCTTACCCCAGCTGGTTTCAATTTGCCATGTAGGTTCAAACCAGCATTTTATGAGGTTAAGAGCCTGGGGAAACAATTCACTGGAGTTCGGGAGTGAAGGGGTAGGAGTAGGGGAGGTGAGGTGAGGGGGAAGGGGAAGTTTGTAGGACACTCAAGTTTAGGATCCCCCAATTTTGAGACCACCATCCAGAATCTCCTTCAGAGGTCCAGTTCTTTGCAACTTTTATTCAGACCTCTAAAGAACACCCCACACATAAAAAAGCATGGATGGGGTGGGGGAGAGAAACAGTGACACCAAGGTAATTTAACCCTTTCTTCTAATGCAACCCACTTTAAATTACCAAGTAAATTCCCCCTTCAGAGTGCCTACAAAACTCCCGTTGCCTGCTAAAAATTAAGGGCTTGGCATTCATAGCTTTCTCCAGTACAAAAAAATAAAACTAAAAGCAGGTCAAACTATGGCCAGAGTACAGGTTTCAGCAAGCATGCAGAGTGGCCTGGTGTGCTCCTGGCAAAGTTGACATTTCAAATATAATCCTGTTCATTCTAGCCCACCAAAAAGAACTTTCTTACCTGACCACCTGCAAAGATGACTGGAGAACTGGACGGCTTGGGCCGGTACGGGATGGTCACGCCCTTCGGGGGGGACTGGGAGAGAGTCAGAGGGGAAAAAAACAAAAAGAGATAAGGTTTCAAAGCTGCTTCAGCTGTGTGGCTTAAGCTCACACAGATCAATTAAATTAAAAACTGCATTAATTTCCATCCCCTCAACCTACCAACGTTGTCTCTGGCTAGATCTAATCTCAAATCATCTGCAGTTATTTGCCTTTAAAGCAGTAAGATGGGTCCGTGAACTACACAGCTCACACTAATTCTCATCAAGGCAGATTACCCTGTAATAATATATGCATTATTTCCGTTTTCTTTTTTTTCTTTTTATTTCCACGTTTTCAAATAAACCTAATGAACATGACAAACTTCTACCCATGTAATTGGTAATTTAGGATCTCACATTTTGGCCTATATAAGAAATGAAGCCAAAACTAGGAGATACAGTACCCAAATATTACGCCTACGATAATACAGACACTGTCAAGAAACAGTTTAAAGGCTTGATCAACATTTTTCTAAACTCTACTTGAAGATTCTATTTTCCTTTCTCATGGACCATGGGGGAAATTCTGTAACAATTCTAAAAAGGTTTATTTTCTCTTAACTTTGCTATTCTTGGGGATCCCTGGGTGGCGCAGCGGTTTGGCGCCTGCCTTTGGCCCAGGGCGCGATCCTGGAGACCCGGGATCAAATCCCACATTGGGCTCCCAGTGCATGGAGCCTGCTTCTCCCTCTGCCTATGTCTCTGCCTCTCTCTCTCTCTCTCTCTGTGTGTGACTATCATAAATAAATAAAAAATAAAAAAAAAAAAAACAAAAAAACTTTGCTATTCTTGTTTTAACTGAATAGCATATACTACCAGGACCTCATAAATCATTCAAAAACACCAGTATGGACAAATTTTCCTATATAAATATCTTTAATATAATCCTGCCTTAAAACATGGAAATTAACTTGAAGAATGCCTCAAAGTTGCACACAGTCAAAATACTGTAATCCAAAAGGCAACTCCAACTTCTCAGGAACCCAATTACATCTTTTACCTACTCAGTCCAAGTAGTAAATCTTCCCCTACCAACCCTGCTAGAATTGCTATAAACCAAAAGATCACTGCTGCTTAACAGTTTCTATTTTTGCTCAGACTACAAGAAAAGTCAAAGCTGGGGGGGGGGGGAGAGGAAAATATGAACTCAGGGAACCTCTTCCCCACCCCCACTGGAAGCTTCTAACAGCTTCACCTAATTCTAGTCTTACTAAATATAGATCAGTCTGTCTCCCTAGAATCACCCTCCCCCCATTCTCAGCATGAGCCTGAGGGCTTACCTCCAACATGACCACGCAGATCTGTTTCACACACTCAATGATGGATTGCGGAATGCCAGCAATAGTGATGGCCCGCTCAGTTGAGTTGGGGAGCATATCCCCTGCCACCTGGACCTGAGCCCCTGTACTCTTTGGGGTAAAAAGAAATTTTAAAAATCAGATAAAAACAGCTCAAACTCTTTTAATTCCAAGTAGCAATTTTAGAGTCTAACATTCAGTAGAAATACTTATCCCATCTCCTATTTTACCCTTTTTATTCTCCCTTCCCACTCTCCCCTTATTCCAGATAAGACTGTTTAATCACAGTTATAAATAAATTAGCCTCTGAAAGTCAAGAATAATCCTGAATAAAAGCCTAAATTTAAGCTGCTCTCAACAAAAAGGCTCTTCTAAAGTTTCCTTTCAGCTAATGATAGCTTCATGGGCCATCAAACAAAATCCCCAAAAGTATCACCTACTTTTCATTCTCTTATTGAACAAATATTTATATTAAGTCCATTCTACGTGTCAGGCACCATTCCAGATTGCTTGGAATATGTCAAACAAAACCAAAATCCATGCTCTCATGGCATGTACAATAAAGCTCCTGAAAACTCCTTTAGGAGCCACTCAAATTTCATTCCAACATCCAATTCAGTAACTCTCAGATACTATTAAAAGCTTCCATAGTTCAATGTAAATTCCACAGTTTAAAAGGGAGCACGATTACAGCTACATCTTATTATACCTTCCTGTTTTCCCCTTGCTATGTTTAGGAGTTTGGCCAAGGAAAATATTTGCTATATTACCTATCAAACTGTAATCTTTTTAGACATTAAAAAAAGTATGTAGTCTCATGGAAAATTACCAAATAAAAAAATGAAAACAAGGGGTGCCTGAGTGGCTCAGTCGGCTAGGCATCTAACTCTTGATCTCGGTCCAGGTCAGGATTTCAGGGTAGTAGGATCGAGCCCCATGTCAACTCCATACTGGGCATGGAGCCTGCTTGGGAATCTCTCTCTCCCTCTGACCCTGCCCCCACCCCGGCACAGCAGTACTGTCTAAAATAAAAATAATAAATCTTAAAAAACAAACAGGTCATGTTTGACAGAAATTCTGGTTAACTTTCTGATGTAAGACATATGAGAACTATTAAAAAAAAAAAACTACCCATTTTTATGTATGTATCAATGGTACAATCCTTTTCTTCCTGGTACAGAATCAAATTGTAATTATCTAGGACTGGTACTTCAATAATAATCTTCATCTCAACTTCAAACTTTCCCTAGCCATACTAAGAGCTATTAATAGAGGAAGTCACATTTAGAATAAACATTTTGAAGACCACAAAAATTACCAACCTCTCGTATTTCCTTGATCTTGCAACCACCTTTCCCAATGAGAGAGCCACACTGACTAGCAGGGACCACCAGCCTCAGGGTAACTGGGGGTCTACTGGCAGCTGTGCTATTGGTCATAGAGCTGCTGATGTCCTTCAAAAAGAAATTCATCAGAAAAAAGAATGTAAGTTTAAGCAGATCCTTGGGGTGCTCGCTTCGGTAGCACATACACTAAGCAGATCCTTGAGACTCATGACTGCTATAATAATAAAACTGTTTTAAACCTTATGAGGGATATTTATTATGTCGTGATCTACCATCAGCAAAAGTTCAAATATTGCCCCTCCCACCCCCTGAACAACTATTTCTGAAAAGATTAAAACACCTACAAACTTCCTCAGAATTAGCCTTAAATATAGTTTCTTTCATGGAAGGCATGGGGGGGGGTTTCATAGGAAGAAAAGTGATTTGTAGTTTTACAAATTAGAGCTGACTGCAAAGTAAAACAGTATCAAAGTCAAAATTAAATAAAATATTAAAGAGAAAGATGGAACAATGGAATCCAAAATTCAAAAAACCAATTCTGTCCTCTTCAGTAACTAAGAAGATTAAGTAGTGTAGTTCTATGTATCATAGTTTTATTTATTTTTATTTTTTTGTATCATGGTTTTAATTTCTTGGTAATATCACCATTATACAGATAATAAAATTGAGGCTGATTACTCATCCCAATCACATCTAAAAAGCTGCAGATTTTAAGACTCCAAAGCCCACCATCTTTCCCCTAACTATATGCTACATCCCAAAAAGTCATGGTTTTAACCTAGTTAAATTTAGCCTTCTGAAGATTAAGTGGTTTAAACATCACTTCTCAGCCTAATCTCTATATAGTAACTAGACCTAGAAAGTGCTTAAACATAAGCCCTTAAAGTCAAGGACATGTTAAAAGTATGAATAGATTTTTCTGAATGTTTAAGCTCCAGGCTCTGGATAGCAGGGCCTTGCAGGTCAAAAGATAACATTTCTGATGTTGGCCATGATAAAATTTCAGGCATCATTAAGTATCTAACCACCAACCAAGCAGCAGCCAACAGTTCTCCTCTGACTGTGGTGTCAAATGCACGATTAGCAGCATTACTGAAGAGGGGGAGGATTCAAGACAAGACCTAGGGCAATGGTTGTTCAGTGTCTGAAGGTTAAGATATCTTGGTGAACCAAAAGCATCCCTCTAACAAAAAACCTCTGGCGTGGATATTTTGCTTCTGAAAACCTATAAAACATATTCTGACACAAAGTTATCAGACTGATTTTCATAAAAACGTAACTGTGCCAAAGGCAGAAAGTTATCTGTATTTATTTATAGTATATGTTAGTGTTCACCAAGGAACCTAACAAAAGCACATTTAAGTTCACTCAACTATAAATCAGGAGACGTTTAGTAATATAGTATTGTCATACTTTCAAAAACTGTTAGGTTAAAAAATAAAAGATGCTGGTTTTTCACACAAATTTTTTATGCTGAGTCCCTGGCAACAGTCAAACTATTTGTCTTAATGATTCAAGTGACTTATGCTCAAATTCTGGGGACACTGAAGGTAGGGGAGATAGATATTTGTAGATATTCATGATCCATTCTGTTCTTCAATTAAAAAGCTCTCAGAGAATCATTAAGCTATTTAGAAGCACTTTAAAAGGAAAACTAAGCAGGGAGGGGTGCCTGGGTGGCTCAGTTGGTTGAGCAGCCAACTCTTGATTTAGGCTCATGTCATGATCTCAGGGTCCTGGGATTGAGCCCTGCATCAGGTTCTGTGCTCAGCAGGGAGTCTGCTTTGAGGAGACTCTCCCTCTCCCTCTGCCCCTCCCCCACTACGAGGGCAAGCACTCTCCCCAAAAATAAATGAAATCAAAATAGATCTTAAAAAATAAATAAACGGACACTAAGTACAGAATGAGGGGGAACAACTAACCTCTTCCAGTTTGTCAATGATCATAGCGAAGGCTTTGAAGATGGCGTTAGTGGGTCCAGCCAAAGTGATAATTCTCTCAGGACAATTCCCTTCTGAGATGTTGATACGTGCACCACTCTGGATAAAAAACAAAGCCAAAAAGCTAAATAAGACAAAAAGATCTGAGAATATATAGAATACGCAGCCCACCCCCAAATAAGCAAGGAACTGCCCATATATCTTGACACAGTATCATTTCAAATACTGCTCATTTTCGTCCTCAGACTACAGAAGCTGCCTTAATGCTTGAATGAACTAAGTTACCAAACTACATTTTCCAGCATACTATACACCATTACAAATAACCAAGCCAGAAAAATGCCAGATTTTCCTATTGAGGCCTTCCCCCTTATAATCACTCATTAAAGAAAATTCCTGCCTTGAAGGACTTAACTGTCCCTAACCTTCCCCCACATAACTCACCTCCTCACGCATCTTCTTAACTGATTCTCCTTTCTGTAAGAGGAAAAGTCAAGAGTGAGCTCCAACTGCTATTTCAACCCAGACTGACTAAACAGTAATTAGAGTTGAAGTGAAACTGTCTTACCTTTCCGATGATACTGCCAACTTCCTGCAATGGAGAAAACTAGCGTCAAATAAGAGGAAACTCGAAGCGTTCATTATCATGAAAAGGAATTTTTAACTGTCCAAAGCAAATGAAAACTAAGATTTACAGAGAAAGGGAGTGAATGGGCTTCATCTTTTCTTTGCAGAAAACATAAATGAAGATATCCAAGAACTTTGAAGGAATAATGATGCAGGAATGATTAAATGCTATTGTGCTTAATGTTATTTTTTAAAGTACCAGATATCACCTTCCCCCCCTTAAAGTTTCCCAAAATTGTCTGGGCAGAGGAAATGTACTTATTACAAGCTATAGCAACCTCCACCGACAAAATCTTATTATCCAGATATGAGACAGTCTTTGGCTCCATCCTCTAGTTAAGCCTTTCCTGCTCAGTGGAGCTTCCTACTAAAGTCTGTCCATTTTCCCACTACACTCTCATCTACGCTGATAGAGAAGAGTGCTAAAAGCCAGATGCCCCACAGTGCTAATCTGATGAGCTCCAAGATGCATGCCCTCTCTTCCTGGCCTCTCCCTGAGCAGTTACTATGACCCAATTTCCCAAGCTGGTGCATACCTTTCCATGCATAAGTAGCCGGATGGTGAGAGTGACATTTAATCCACCTTCAATCACACCGGTGTCCATGTCGAGCAGTGTTCCGGGGAGCTGGACTTTGAGTGGTCAAGTCTTTGGTCACTGGTGGGGGTGAAAGCCAAAAACTGAAATGCAAATATGACCAAAATCAGAAGAGGAAAAAAATAGGAGAAAAGTCATTTCATCAGTATCAAATGTCTTCTGAGTCTTTTCCTTAAAAGACAGCCTATCAGGTGGCAAGCTTGTATATACCCAGCACAACTGCACTAATGACAACCATTTACAGCTCAGGTTGTGTTACGGTTCGGAAGGAGACTTTTCAGTCAGCTCTCCTTCAATGGTAGGGTTTCCGCTGACTCTCACTCGGGATGAGGAAGATTCCTTCAATTGGCAATGGTTGTAAAGGAACTGCTGAATGTGCATTTGTCCTTCAGGCAGAATAAGCTTTGACAGGATACAGAAACACCTGGACAAACCTCACTCTAACCAACTACAGAGAGGCAGATGACCTTTTGCCTCCCTGTTAGGTAGCAGATCAGGTTGAAAGCTAGAAAGGACATGTTAAGTTTTCTTATTTGTAGCAATTTCTAGGTAAAAATATTGAGATTAACTCATGTTAAAATTTCAAATCTTGACAGATGACAACAAATAATTTTAATAAGATTTAAATCAACAACCTCACTGAAAAATGCATTTTCTGAAAGCCTTCTATGAAGACTAGGGTTCCATATTCCCCTTTGGGAAAAGACTCAATACATTAAGTACTGCCTGAGTCCTTTCTCCTATTCCCTTCCCCAACCCAACCTGATAATCACTCAGATTTGAAAATTTTCCTTGCTTCTGTGTATTGAGCTTTACCACTCCACCTTTATTCAAATCTATTAAGTCTTAAATTTTTTTCCAAAGAAAACAATGAAAATAAAACTGGTATTGCTGAAAATTTACTGTAGAATCGTTTCAAGTAACAGGGGTATTGAACCTTTCCCACAGAGAAAGCTTCTGTCCTCCTAAACAATGTTCCCAATATTTCAGTTTTGGAGTAACAGATTACATGCAGAAAGAAAAGGTTTTAGGATATACCTTTTTCCCTAGGATACCTCCTTAGGACCTAACAGCATTAGCTTTAAAAAGGTTCTCCAAAGTTGATAAATTTCTCCAGTGACATTTTTAGCAACCATCCCTTCAAAACTCAACAGCAATGATCTCTCCCAGAGCGAGTTTTCCCCCTTCACAAAACAGCTACCGCTTTAACTTTGCTCTAACACAAAATCCACCCCTAAATTTTTAAGAGGTGTTTAACTTGCTGCCAGATCATTCTGTATATGGCAAGCTGCCCCATGGTTACCTCCAGAGCCCGATTTAAAAGATGGGCTTTGCATCCCCAAGGCACCTCATTCCCTCATCTTCAAAATAGAATTAACTGCTGGCAAAATCCCAGAATTCAACACTTTTCACTCATGGAAAAACAACAGTGCTGCTGCGGGGGGGGGGGGGGTGATGAAAGGGGGGGGAGATAGAGTTACGTCTGTAAGAATGACTTTTTTTTTTTTTAAGATATGGTAAAATACTGGCAGTTTAACTCCTCATCTCCGCTCAAATATAAGGGGAATCACTTTACAAACAGCACAGTAACGCAAGTACGAAAGGACAAGAACACTGAAAATCTACTAGAAGGCCATTTCGTGATTAAGGCACAAAGGAGCATTTCTAACTCCGAACATCCAAGAAATCCTTGTCATTTTCTCCTGGCTGGGCCGATATAAGTGTGCCCAATCCCAGGAATCCAGCTGCTAATCCTGCAGTCCATTACCCCTTCTCCTATAAATAGCTCGGCCTGGGTCTACATCCGCAAGCATTTTGTAATTTCGAAATTCGTTACCCCGAGAGAACGTCCTGAATAACTCGGGAACTGGGAGCCCGTTTACCCTTTCTTTTAACTCCGCAGCCCCCCTCCCCTCGGTCATCCAAGCATTTTCCAATTAAAAAATGCCCCCCCCATCCCTCCACTAGAAAAGAGAGAACGGGGGGGGGGGCGAACGAAAAAAAAATAAACGGTTCGGTCGGGGGGGGGCGCTGCGATCCAGGGGGAGGGGCCGGGCTAGTAGCGCCTCCTCGTGTGGCTGCGCCAGCGCCTGACCCCCGCGGGGAGCCGCGCTCACCCGCCCGGCCAGCAAGCCGGCCATCGCCTCCCCCCACCCCCTTCAACCAACAAATCCACCGCCGCCCCCCCTACCGCGCGCGCGCCCTCCTTGACTCCTGCGCAGCCGCCACCGGGAAAAGGCGGGGGGAGGGGGGAGGCCTTGCGCGAGGCCTACTAGGCCGCGCCTGAGCCAGGGCCTCGCGTGAATGGCCGGCCAGCCAGAGTGAGGGGGTAGGCGCTCACGCGGTACTACGCGAGGCCGGGGCTCGTGACGGAGACCGGAGCCCGCTGAGAAAGATGGCAAGAGTGGAAACAGAGCTATAGCTGGGGGCGGAGGGAGAATTTTGAAGCTTACCTGCAGGCGCGAGGCGACTGAGGGGAAAAGGGGAGCGGGCGGGAAGGGGAAGGGCGGGAGGCCGGGGGCGGAACAATAGGGGCGGGCGGGAAGGCGAGGGGGGCCCCGCGGGCGGGCGGAGGAGGAAGGGGGGGGTGGAGGAGGAGGAGGAGGAAGGGGGAAAGAGACCCCGGGGCGGGTGGAGGGCGGCGGAGGGCGGGCGGGCGGGCGGAGGGCGGGCGGGCGGGAGAGGGCGCAGGCTGCGGCTGCTCCGGCTGCTGCCTCTGCTGGTCTGGGAGGGGGACGGGGCGGAGCGGCCCGCTTTCAACCCCGCGCACCCTCCGACCCCGGAAGCGCTAACCGCCCCGGGGGCCGGCGAGGCGACTGCGTCGTCCAGACCTTCCCCACACAATGCGCACGGCCTCCGGGCAGCCTAGAGCGGCTCCGTGGACAGCGTCGGCACCAGCGAGACGACGCCTGGTAGCCGGCGGCCGAGCCTGGGATAGAGCGGCAGCGCGCGGACAGGAGGACGCTAGCGGCCCCTAGCGGCCGGACCGGAAAGCCCAGGCCTGAGTGCGGAGAGAGTTGGCAGGCGCCATGGATAAAGGAGACAAGAGGGAACCAAGGGATGAGTGAGAAGAATGAGAAGAGACGGGAAAAACCCAGTAGTGTGTTGTGATCCATCAAAAAAAAAAAAAAAAAAGAAAGAAAAAAGAAAAGAAAGATTAAAAGAAACTACTTTGGCACACTGCAGGCAACTTTTACACCAACTCCTTTACTCTGAAAATTAGTACTGAAAAGGAAAAGAATTAAGCATTTACTCCCTCTTAGAAAGAACTGCAGTCCATCCGTGGTTGATAAGGGAAAAACTTTTTTTTTTCTTTTTAAGATTTCAGCCTAATGTATAAAGAATGAGAAGAAAATCCCCATTCATCCTGCAACCCCAAATGAAAACAATCATTCAAGCCGGTGGCATCAATCATCAAAACTTTAAGTGAAAGGTTGTTAGGGAAACAGGATATTATCACGGGGCCAAATATCAGCACTCACATTATTGGCAAATGGCACGGAAAAAACAACAACCAAAAAGCAAAAAAAAAAAAAAAAAAAAGAAAAGAAAAGAAAGAAAGAAAGAAAGAAAAAAAAAAAAGAAAAGAAAAAGAGAGAGAGAGTGCTCTGATAATCACCACCTTACCCTAGTAATCAAACTTTGCAACACTAACAGCTGGACAACTTTGACATTATGTGGTCCTTGAAGAGATACAATAAATACATAGCATCGCCCATTAAGTCTTCTTGTCAAAAGTGTTTAATCTTAAAGTAATCAACCCTTAAATCTAATTTGCAATGTATAGGAAATTTATTTTTATTTATTTATTTATTTATTATTTATGATAGTCACAGAGAGAGAGAGAGAGAGGCAGAGACACAGGCAGAGGGAGAAGCAGGCTCCATGCACCGGGAGCCCGACGTGGGATTCGATCCCGGGTCTCCAGGATCGCGCCCTGGGCCAAAGGCAGGCGCTAAACCGCTGCGCCACCCAGGGATCCCCTGTATAGGAAATTTATGAGGGATAAAGGAATAAATTAAATACATCACACTGCAAGGAGATAATCGGCCAACTCAGAATGCGGTTAAGCGGCCAACTCTTGATTTTGGCTCCAGGGTGCTGAGATGGTACTCAGCAGGGAGTTCACTTGACATTCTCTCTCTTTCTCTCTCTCTCTCTCTCTCTCTCTCTCTCTCTCTCTCTCTCATCTATCTATCTATCTATCTATATATCTCTCCCTCTGCCCCTCCCCACCTCTCAAATAAATCTTCTTTATTTATTTATTTATTTATTTTGAAAGACTGAGCACAAGTGGCAGGGGGAGGGGCAGAGGGAGAAGCAGATTCCCCGCTGAGCAGGGAGCCAGAAGGGTTGGATCCAGGACCCTGGGATCATGACCTGAGAAGAAGGCAGACACTCAACTGACTGAGCCACCCAGGAATCCCTAAATAAATAAATCTTAAAACTACCCAGTCTCTTTAAAAAGTCAATGTAGGGGATCCCTGGATGGCCAGAGGTTTAGTGCCTGTCTTTGGCCCAGGGCGTGGTCCTGGAGTCCTGGGATCAAGTCCGACATCCAGCTCCCTGCATGGAGCCTGCTTCTCCCTCTGCCTGGGTCTCTGCCTCTGTGTGTGTGTGTGTGTGTGTGTGTGTGTGTGTGTGTGTGTGTGTGTGATGAATAAATAAATTAAATATTTTTAATAAATAAATAATAAAAAGGCAATGTAATGGGAAAGAAAGAAGAGGTGGGTAAGAAAAAAATTTAAAAAGCAATAATAAATGCAATGTGTGGGGGATCCCTGGGTGGCGCAGTGGTTTGGCGCCTGCCTTTGGCCCAGGGCGCCATCCTGGAGGCCCGGGATTGAGTCCCACGTCGGGCTCCCGGTGCATGGAGCCTGCTTCTCCCTCTGCCTGTGTCTCTGCCTCTCTCTCTCTGTGTGTGCCTATCATAAATAAATAAAAATTAAAAAAATAAATAAATAAAAATGCAATATGTGGCTCTTGTTTGTTTTTACTTAAAAAAATATATCTATATAGAGGTGCTTGGGTGACCCAGTTGGTTGAGTGTCTGCCTTTGGCTTGGGTCATCATCCCTGGGTCCTGGGATGGAGTCTTGCATTGGGCTCCCTGCTTAGTGGGGAGTCTGCTTCTTCCCCTCCCTCTGTCCTTCCCCCTGCTTGTGTTCTGTGTCAAATAAATAAAATCTTTTAAAAAAATAAAATTAAAAATAGCTAAATGACATTTTCAGGACAATTGAGGAAAATTTAAATAAACTGAATATTAGCTAATATTAGGAAATATTGTTAATTTTCTTAAGTGTGAGAGGCACCTGGCTAGCTCAGTCAGAAGAATGTGCAATTCTGAACCTCAGGGTTGTGAGTTCGAGCCCCACATTGTATGCTGAGATTACTTAAGTAAAATTTTTTTAGAAATTATTTTCTTAAAAATAAATAAATTATTTTCTTAAGTTTGATAATGGATTGTGGTTATGTAGGAGAAATGTTCTTTATGAGTGCATGATGAAATATTTATGGGTGGTGGATCATGATGTATGCAAGACTCTCAAATGGTTCACATAGGTATATCAAAGCAAATATGGGAAAAGATTAAGAACTGTTTAGTGTGGGTGGTAGGTTTATGGGTAATCACTGTCGTATTCTTTAAACTTTTAAAAAATAATTTTTAGGGCAGCCCAGGTGGCTCAGCAGTTTAGCGCTGCCTTCAGCCCAGATTGTGATCCTGGAGACCCAGAATTGAGTCCCACATCGGGCTCCCTGCATAGCCTGCTTCTCCCTCTGCCTGTGTCTCTGCCTCTGCCCCTCTCTGTCGCTGTGTCTCTCATGAATAAATAAGTAAATTTTTTAAAAAGTAAAAAATAATTTTTATAATAAAAATTGGAAACAATATGTGGAATGGAACAAGACTGGCAAAATGTTGATAATTCCTGAGGTTAGGTAATGGGAATATAGGAGTTCATTAAACTGTTTTCTCTTATATGTCTGTAAATTTCCAGATTAAAACTTTTTATAAAACAACAAGAACAACAAAAACCAGAAAAAAACCGGAAGGGCTCCAGCTTGGAGTAAGACAAAATTAGGAGAGAGCAAATACATGGTTATTACTGAACCTCGCTCAAGTCCTTTAGGTGTCAGTTCTGGCCTTAATGTTACAAAGTTTTATTGGGCAACCCCAATTCAGTAGGAACAGCTTCCCAAAGCTTGGGGATTCCAGTTCCCTGGGGTGGTATATTAGAAACAATATGAGACAGAAATGAAGAGAAGTCTGTCATTTACAAAGGTAAGGGACAGACCAAATACTAAAAGAGAGGAAAGGAAATAAGAAAATGTCAGGGGGAAAAAAAAAGAAAGAAAATGTTGGAATACCAACATTTCAAAAAAAATTTTTTAAGTTTTATTCATTTAAGTAATCTTTACACCCAACATAGGGCTTGAACTCCAACTCCAAGATCAAGAGTTGTACGCTCTTTTGAGCCAGCCAGGGGCCCCAGAATATTAATATTTTGAATCAAACTAAGGAGCAGGCTTACTGTGAGACCTGTACAGGTTAGATTAACCTCGAGATTTTGCACTTGGGGGTGGGGCGCCTGTGGTTCAGTCAGTTAAGTGCCTGCCTTTGACTAGGGTCATGATCCTGGGGTCCTGGAATGATGCCCCTTGTCTGGCTCCCTGCTCTGCCTCCCTCCCCTCTCCTGTTCATTCTCTCTTTCTCTCTAATAAACTTTGAAAAAAAGAAAAGTCTTAAAAAATTTTTTGCTCGTGGGTCATTTATATTCCAGAGACCCTGAGAGCTCGGGTGAAAGTGAGTAGCTGTTCAAGAAGTCACTTCATCCTTTACTAACAATAGCATGGCTTCTCCTAGGGCTGGGCAGCAGTTGCAGTCAGCTTTGAAAGAGAAAGAGGAGATGCATTTAACAGCAATACCTGATAATTTCATGAATCAATAAATTCCTCCCCGAAGAGGAAAGAAGAGAGTCAGTTTGCCTAGAACTATAAAGCAACCTAAGGAAATGATTCCAAAAAGGCAGCAAACTAAAGACTCATCCCATGACTGGCAATTCCCAAAGCTAAACTATCAATTTGTATTTTAGATCTCATGGATTTCCTATCCCTTCCCATCCTCAACTATGTGGAAACCTTGCTACACTTCGTTTATAGTAAGAAGAGAATAGCAGACTCCCAGATTCCTCTCATGGACACAAGGTGGTGAAGGCGTAAGATAAACACACTTGAGGATGACCATCCTTAGTCCTTTATATTGTTGCACAAAATGGGATGCAAACCCAGTGCTTTCAGGAGACAGGCAGGTCATGTAAATGGGGAGAAAGAAGGCAACAGGAAGTTGAAAATATTATGAAAAGACTGGAGAGTACAAGACCCATTTATAAGGAATGACCACTACTCAGGGCCAGAATTTCTGCTCTCAGGATTGTGAACCCACTGTTGCTAGGATTTCCAGCTTGAAATCTAAATCTTCACTGAAAATGTCTGATACTGGAAAATACTGGGTGGCACAGTCAGTTAAGGGTCTGACTCTTGGTTTTAGCTCAAGTCATGATCTCAGATCCTGAGATCGAGCCCCCCACATCAGGCTCCGTGCTAAGTGCAGAGTCTGCTTGAGATTCTCTTTCAGGGTCCAAGCTCAGCAGGGAGTCTTTCTTTAAAAAAAAAATTATTTATTCATGAGATACTCACAGAGAGGCAGAGACACAGGTAGAGGGAGAAGCAGGCTCCCTGTGGGGAGCCCCATGCAGAACTCAGCTCCTGGACCGGGGGATCGTGCCCTGAGCCAAAGGCAGAGGTTCACCCACTGAGCCACCAAGGCATCCCTACTTTTAGCTTTTAGAAAATTAGTAAATTTGGGGGAAATAATAACAAAACAAAACAACAGCAAGGTGCTCTGCATATGGCTTAGATACACCAAGAAGGGGAGATGTGCTCTCCGTCATTAAGACTGGGGAAAGAGAGGGGACAGTGAATTTTCTCCCTAATTTCTTGGCGTCTTTTGTGTTTTCCCTCTTTACCACTTCTCTGTCTCTCCTTATTTCTAGTTTGTCAACATCTGTTTCTCTTCCCCTCACAATCCCCCTGTGCCCACATCTTCCCTTCTCCTCAAAAATGAGGAACTGATGAATAAATGAAAATGGAGGACAACTGGAATGAAACATTAGAATGACCCCCAAACCCAGGACACTGGAAAAGCAGGCCTGGGTTTTGGATTTCCTATAAAATTAGAAGCTAGCTCTAAACTATAGGAAGACCTCAAGCATTTATTTGGTATAACTCACCTCAGGGGCAAGTCATAGACGCCATACAGCCAATAAAGATGCTCTTCCTTGTTCTCCAAACCCCATGCTCGATCCCCAAGCCCTATGGATTCCACCTCAGAAACATCAAGTCTACTCCTTCCTCCAGGCCATCTCCCCACCTTCAGTCTCATTTTCTGCTTTCAGGTTCCCGCATGGTAACTCAGGCTCAAGGACTCCTGAACTTTCATCCTACGTCTTTTCAGAACTCTGTGCCTCTAAAACTGCTGGGTTTTTTTTTTTTAAGATTTTATTTATTCATGAGAGACACACACACACACAGGGGGGTGGGGGGCAGAGGAACAGGCAGATGGAGAAGCAGGCTCCCTGCGGAGAGCCCGATGTAGGACTCGATCCTGGGACTCCAGGATCAGGACCTGAGCTGAGGCAGACGCTTAACCACTGAGCCCCCGAGCTGTGCCTAAAACTGCCATTTCTGCCTGGAATCCATTGGGTTCAGGAGCCAGACTGCCTGAGTTTGAACTGACTGAACCACTTCCTGCTTCAGTTTCCTTTACCTGTAACGTCGGAGTAATAGTACCTCCCTCACCGAGTTGCTGGAAAGATTACAGAAATTATAAGTGGAAAGCACCCAGAACTGGAACACAATAAATGCTCAGTGTTAGCTGATATTATTTACCAACTGGCCAACTCCCACTTACCCCAAGGCCCAGCCCAGACCTAGCTCATTTTCCCAGTGGCACCGTCACTCCTTCCTTTGCTACCCCACTGCTAGATCCATGTCTCTATTGTGCTTCTTTTTACCAGTATTACAATAACCTACTTACGTGTCCGTCTGCTCCATTAGATCTTGTGGATCCTGAGCAGCAGGGATCGTCTTTTAGGTTCAGCACCCAGAAGACAGCATTTCCTCAATAAACAATTTTCTAGAAAACCAATCTAGCCCCACTGGGAGACCTGTGATTCCCAGACATACTATGGAACTTTGAGTCTGTACCTAATCACAAATGCTTTTCCCAGTTTCTCTCCCCTCTCCACTTAATAAATCCATTCTTTCATTTTTTTCTACTCACACGTTTCATGTTCCAGGCCCAAGAGGTGGTTGAAATACCTTGGTATTTGAACTACCAAGAGGTAGTTCCTGTGAAGTCACCTTTGACTCTTCCTACCGTTCCCACTTATTTCTAGGTTTATATCCCCCCTGGCATTTTATAGTATCTATCTCTTGGATATTTTTCCTTCCCCCAGCAGATGTGAGTGCCATGCATGGCATAGAGTAAATCAGGAGCCATCAATTCCAGCTGTGTATTGTAATCACTGACATGTTTTCTTAAAAATACTGACTTGTTGGGGATCCCTGGGTGGCGCAGCGGTTTGGCGCCTGCCTTTGGCCCAGGGCGCGATCCTGGAGACCCGGGATCAAATCCCACGTCGGGCTCCCGGTGCATGGGGGGCCTGCTTCTCCCTCTGCCTGTGTCTCTGCCTCTCTCTCTCTCTCTCTGTGTGTGTGTGACTATCATAAATAAATAAAAAAATTAAAAATAAAAAAAATAGAGTCCTTAAAAAAAAAAAAACTGACTTGTTGAAGCACCTGAAGTAGCTCAGTTAAGCATCCAACTCTTGATCTCAGGTCTCGATGTCAGGGTTGCAAGTCCAATACCCACATTGGTCTCCACACTAGTCATAGAGCCTACTTAAACAAAACAAAAACAAATCCAACGACTGATTTATAGGGCCCCATCCTTGAGAGTCTCATTCAATAGATTTTTTTTTCAAAAGATTTATTTACCTGTTTGAGAGAGAAGAGGAAGGGGCAGAGGGAGAGAATATCCAAGCAAACTACTGCTGTGTGCAGGGCTCGATCTCACAAGCCATGAGATCTGGATTTGAACCAAAACTAAGAGCTGGAAGCTTAACTGACCAAGCCACCCAGGCGTCCCTCATTCAATAAATTTAAGTCAAAACTCTAAATTAGGGACGCCTGGGTGGCTCAGCAGTTGAGAGCCTATCTTCGGCCCAGGGTGTGATCCTGGAGTCCTGGAATCAGGTCCCACATTGGGCTCCCTGCATGGAGCCCGCTTCACCCTCTGCTCGTGTCTGCCTCTCTCTGTGTCTCTCGTGAATAAATAAATAAAATCTTTTTTTTTTAATTTTTATTTATTTATGATAGTCACAGAGAGAGAGAGAGAGAGAGGCAGAGACACAGGCAGAGGGAGAAGCAGGCTCCATGCACCGGAAGCCCGATGTGGGATTCGATCCCGGGTCTCCAGGATCGCGCCCTGGGCCAAAGGCAGGCGCCAAACCGCTGCACCACCCAGGGATCCCAAAATCTTTTTTTTTAATAAATAAAATCTTAAAAAAAAAAAAACTCTAAATTATCCTCACCCTGAAACTAATAATACACTATGTTAATTTGAATTAAAAAAAAAATCGTACACATGGGTAGCTCAGCTGGTTTGGTGCCAGCCCTTGGCCCAGGGCATGACCTTGGAGGCCCAGGATCAAGTCCCACATCAGGCTCCCTGCATGGAGCCTGCTTCTCCCTCTGCCTGTGTCTGCCTCCCTCTCTCTGTGTCTCTCATGAATAAATAAATAAAATCTTAAACACACACACACACACACACACACACAAAACTGAATTGTTCTCTGATAGCTGATGAGCAGCCAGGGTTAAGAACCTCTGTAGCAAAAAAAAAAAAAAAAGAACCTCTGTAGCAGATATGAAAACTTATGCTAAAGACCTCTGTCTATTCATTGAAGGGAAGACCGTAAAGATGCGTTCCAGTAGTCTGAACCAATTCTAAAGGTTCTTCTCAGTTAAGAAACAAAGGGACAGGGTAGCCCGGGTGGCTCAGCGGTTTAGCGCCACCTTCAGCCCAGGGCGTGATCCTGGAGTCCCCGGATCGAGTCCCAGGTCGGGCTCCCTGCATGGAGCCTGCTTCTCCCTCTGCCTGTGTCTCTGTCTCTCTCTCTCCCCCGTGTTTCTCATGAATAAATAAATAAAATCCTTTAAAAAAAGGGACATAGGGTGTCTTCCTCACTGATGCTCTGGTTCCTTTCTATAAAACTGATACGCTTTGGAGGGTCTATGGAAGGGCAGCAAAAGTAGTAGAATGTGCTGGGCCCAACCAAGGTAATGGCACAGATGAACAGAGACCAGGAAAAAAAAAGTTTTATTTGGGCTGAGAGCTGGAGAATGAGAAGGCCCTGAGCCAGCCTACTGAGCTAAGAAGTGAGATTAGATTCCAAACCGGCAGGTAGAGCTTATGAACCAAATGGACTCCACCTCCCAGCAGGCTTACAGTTAGTACAATCAATAGAGGCTGGTGGGAAATCTATTTGCCACTAAATCACCAAAGTATGCCAGCCACCATTACAAAACGGCACAGTTTCTTTTCTTCCGTAATTAAATTTCCACAACCCCTCCCAACTACAAGTATTACAAAAGAAAGTTAAAAAAATCTCATTTTACAGATCTTAAACTCATCTTCAGCATTTAGCTCAAAGGTCTCATCAGCCTCAAAAAAATAGTTCTCCTGCTAAGCTCATCAGCTAAAAGGTCGTTCCAAGTAGTTAGAAGATGGTCTTTGCTAGCCCGTGGCAATTCTTTGGCCCATTTTCCCTAGCCAGTTAGGGCTGAACAGCAGAGAAAGGCTCAGAGTAGGGGGTGAGGGAGAAGGGGCACAAGGGCTAATTTTCCCCTGTACAAGATGCCATTTGAAGCTTGATGGGAGAGCAGAACTGGAGAGGCTTGAGGGAAGGGTCCAGACCCTGTATTCAGTCAGAGTCACTGCTGGAAGAGGAGGAGGAGGAGGAGGAATGCTGTAAGGGGAAAGGAGACAGCATCAGATGCAATGACCTTTGATCACTCCATGGGACATTCTTTGGTGCTCCGCCCCTCCACCCAAGCACCCTTTGCTTCCTAAGAAGGTCGGGAGTCTTGAAACAGTCCCTTAAACAGCAAAAGCAAAAAGCAGTAGAATGTGGTGGGCCCAACGGTGACACACAGGAATGGATTAAACCTTCCTAAATCAGTACACAGAACTTAATACTGCATTTGGAGCATGTTTCCAACTTTCTTTACCCAAGCCAGTGCCTAGGCAAGGAAATAAAGTATAGGAACTAGTGTAGTATAGTGCTAGGGACAGCTGCTATCTTGCAAATGCTTACTGATTGGCTGCATGGAAAGTTCATGTAGCAGTGGGTCTAAGACAAGGGAGCAGAAACAGCCTCTGTGCGCCTGTCTAGCTTTGCTTTTTCCTAAGCCCCAAATGGGAAAGTGAGGAAGGAGGGGAGAGTACTAGCCAAGGTTCTTTACTTGCACACCCCCAACAACTGTCACCAAACACATTTTTTCATCTCTGCAGGGCAATTTCTCCCCCCATTCAACCTCATATCTTTCCTTCTCCTGCAACTCCTACCAAAGATCCGGAAAGGGGTAGTGCCCAAAGCCCTAAGGCAAATAAACACTAGGCACTAAAATGTAAATTAAGGCCTCCTCAAGATCCAGGTGGGTTCCGTCCTTCCAGGGTTGTCCTGAGAGCTACTTGTTAGTTAACGCTCTTCTAGAATAAAGATACTAGCTGAGGGCTAGCATCTCTGGGGCTGAGCATGAAATTTAGGTTTTGTTTGAGGCCAGAGTCACTGAGAGTCCTGCTGGGTGGTAGGACAAAAAAAGCCCCTGTGATAATTAACACAGCACCTCCAGAACACTGAAGGTGGGGGTGTCTGACTTGCTAAACCAAGCGTCTGGGGACGGGGGTGGAGCAAAAGTTCTGGCAGACAGACAGACAGGAAGGGCTTTGGATTCTGTTATGTATTCTATGGCTCAGCCTAGCCTCTCCTCGATAGAAGGCCCGATTTGCCTAATATTTCAAGATTACCAGATTCTTTTTTTTTTTTTTTTTTTTTTTTTAGATTACCAGATTCTTACCAGTGGAAATACTTTACAAAGAAGAACTGTCTACCAGAGCCACACAATGGCTGCTTCATGTCCTCAGACTGCAAATCCCCCCATGCCTCTGTGGTGGGCACCCCTTCCTAGCCAAGCTCCAGGGGGCACTGACCTTGCCATGCTTGTGGTGTTTGTGCGTCTTTTTATGAGCTTTCTTCATTTTCTTCCGCATCTTCTTGTCCATCACCATTCCCGGTCCCCCCATGCCAGGTGGCAAGGGATTCACAAGAGGCGTGCCAGGAACAGGTGGTGGGTAAGGAGGTGGGTAGGGACCCGTGGGTTGGCATCCGGGGTACCCTGGTTGTGGCGCAGGATAAGGGGGCCCGCCGGGGGGAAAAGCTGGATTCCCCTGGGGAGCCCCTGGGGGAGTTGGATAGGGGCCCGGGGGATAGGCGGGATTCACAGGTGGCGGATGGGCAGGATTGGCACCTCCAGGGTACGCGACGTTAGGGGGATATGGATGCGGCCCTGGCTGTCCTGGTGGAAGAAGCAAAGAATAAATTAGGATTCCAAGAGCTCAGAGCCTCTGAGGACAAACAGGGGCAAAAAGAAGGGGGTTCCGTTTCTCACTCACTACTTACAGGGAAATGCAAAGGCGGGGGAGCAGGTGGGGCGGCGGGGAGGCAAAGCCTGCGGGCAGAGGGAAGGTGAGGGCGGCGGCAGGGGTGGGGAGGGAGGGAGACGGTGACTCGGGGCGGACGAGCGCAGGGTCAGCCGAGGAGGAGCGAGGGCCGCTTCTGGGCGCGAGGGGGGCGGAGAAAGCGACAGAAACTCCCCGTCGCGGGCTCCTCTGAAAAGCGGTTGCGGCCGAGCCCCCGAGCACCTACCGGCATTGGGATTCCACATGTTCGGGGCTTCCCTGCAGCCTGAGGAGGAAGAAACGAAGGCGAAAAGCTGATGGCGCGCGGGGGGGGGGGGGGGGGGTTAGAGACCGAGCCCAGAGCAGCGCCTCCCGGACTCGCGGAACCGCCTCGACCTCCGCAGGCTTCCTTCCCCACCGGCCCTGCGCTCAGCACCTGCTTCCTCCTGCCCCCAGGCCCGGGGCGCCGCTCCCCGCGCCTCCACCTTCCACCACCTCGGGCTCCGCGGGACAGGGGCCACGTCCGCGACCTCCGGGCCCGCTTCCCGCTCCCCTCCCCAGCCCTCCCCTCCTCGCCCCTTCCCCTCCCCTCGTCCCCCCCTCCGCGACCTCGGGGTCCGCTCCTCCCTCATCCCCTCCCCCTTCCCCTACCCCCTCCGCGACCTCCGGGCCCGCTCCCCCCTCCCCTCCTCTCCTCCCCTCCTCCGCGACCTCCGGGTCCGCTCCCCCCCCCTCCTCCCCCTTCCCCTCCCCTCCTTCCCCCATCCGCGACCTCCGGGTCCGCTTCCCCCTCCCCTCCTCCCCCCTTCCCCCCTCCTCTCCCCTTCCCCTCCCCTCCTCCCCCCTTCCCCTCCCCTCCTTCCCCCCTCCGCGACCTCCGGGTCCGCTCCCCCCCTCCCCTCCCGGGGCTGAGCCCGGAAGACTTTCCTCACCCACCGCTACGGAAGGATCTTAAACAACTTCACCGCCCTCAGCCCGGGGCAGGCGGAGGGAGGCAGGACCCTCACCCCAGGCCACGGGAAGGAGCCGGAGAAGGCGTCCAGGGAAGATCCTCCACCGCTGTCTTACGGAGACACACCCCCCTTCCACAGCCCACAGGGCAAGTGGAGAGCCTGGCTCCCGGCTGCCAAGGATCCCTGACCTGGGGACGAGGCAAGGAGGAAACTGGGGAACCCAGACGCCCAGGCACCTTTACACCACCTCCCGGGCGGGACTCATCCTCGGCTCTCACTTCCTGGCCCCCGCCCCCCGCTCCTCCCCGACCTGGGCTTCAGCGCCCGCCCCCGCCCCCGCCTGGTTGGCGAGCGCTTGGCCCGTCCGCGTCCTGATTGGAGAATACAGCCGTCAATCACTCTGGCAGGCGGGGCTGGAGGCCGGCGGGGGCCCAGGGGGCGGAGCGCGGCCCCGGAGGGCGCAGAGGAGTGGGCGGGCCGGAAGCGCCGGGGGCGGGGCCAAGGCGGGCCTCGGAGGGGCGGGGCCGGCTTGTGGGCGGAGTCCCGGGGAGGCCCGGAGGACTCTGCACCCGGGCCCTTCGAGCTCCTAGGGCGGTGGGTGCGACGCCTGGAGAGGTGACCGAGGCGGTGCGAGGCTGTAACGCGGTCCTTGCAGAGCGCCTAAGACACGGCGGAGAGCTGCCGGGTCTCAGCCCCACGCCTCGGTTTCGCCACCTTCCTCCTCTCCCCTGTGGGAAGGAAAGAAACATTCTTGGGGGGAAATACAGAGATTTCCTAATCCCCCTTAGAATTCCCTAGCTCACTTGCATAGCTCCGCCGTCCGTCGAATTGCATAAGGCCGAAGCCAAGGAGGTCATCTTTGATGGCTCTCTCTTCGCCTTTCCCTTGTCCCGCCGCCGCGAAGAGCTCGTTTTGTCTCCCAAATAAATCTGAATTCTTTCCGCTTCTCTCCATGGTCCCTGCTCCTAGCCTATCATCGTCTCTACTGGATTGCTGCAATGGCTTCATCTTTTTTTTTTTTTAATCACAATTAACGTAAAAAACCATGCACCCCAAACTTAAAAATACTCATTCTTCCTAAGCATACTTAGGATACTTATTTAAAAAACTGGGGGGCAGCCCAGGTGGTTCAGCGAGGCCTGACCCTGGAGACCTAGGGTCGAGTCCCACTTCGGGCTCCCTGCATGGAGCCTGTTCCTCCCTCTGCTTGTGTCTCTGCCTCCCTCCCTCTCTCTCTGATGAATGAATAAATAAAATATTTTTAAAAATAAAATAAAATAAATGGAAAATTGTACAATATGTGGCGTTTTGTGACTGGGTTTTTTCACTTAGCATAATATTTTCAAGGTTCATCCATGTTGTCATATGAATCAGTACTTCATTCCTTTTTATGAGGGAAGTACTAAAAACCATGCCGCTGAATGGAAATACCACATCTTGTTGTATCCATTCGTTGGATAATGGACATTTTATTTTATCTTATTTTTAAAAGATTGTATTTATTCATGAGAGACACAGAGAGGCAGAGACACAGGCAGAGGGAGAAGCAGGCTCCCTGCAGGGAGCCTGATGTGGGACTTGATCCCAGAACCCTGGGGTCGCGACCTGAGCCAAAGGCAGATGCTCAACCCCTGAGCCACCTAGGTGCCCCAATGATGGACAGTTTTTTTTTTTATTAAACTTTTTTTTTTAAGATTTTGTTTATTTATTCATGAGAGACACAGACAGAGAGAGAGGGGCAGAGACACAGGCAGAGGGAGAAACAGGCTCCATGCAGGGAACCCGATCTGGGCCTCGATCCCAGGTCTCTAGGATCACGCCCGGGACCGAAGGCAGGCGCTAAACCTCTGAGCCACCCAGGGATCCCCCTGATGGACAGTTTAATTGTTTTTTCTTTTTGCCTGTTAAGAATATTGCTGCTATGGGGAGGTGGGGTAAAAAGAAAGAAAGAAAGAAAGAAAGAAAGAAAGAAAGAAAGAAAGAAAGAAAGAAAGAAAGAAAGAAAGAAAGAAAGAAAGAAAAAGAATATTGCTGCTATGAACATTCATGTACAAGCTCTTGTGTGAGCATGTTTTCAATTCTATTGGGTGTATACCTGTGAGAAGAATTCCTGGATCATATGGTAACTCTGTGTTTAACTTTTTCAGGAACTGCCAGACTATTTTCCAAAATAGCCACATGATTTCACATTCCCATCAGCAATGTATTAAAGTTCCAATTTCCCCACATCTGGCCCAACACTTGTTACTATCCGTCTTTATCAGTACAGCCATTCTAGTAGGCCTGAAATGGTGTCTACAGTGGCTTTGTGTTAATTTTAAGACAAAGATCAAAATTATTTTTACTTGTATATATTAGCTTTTGTCGAATAGGTAATATGTTCACATGATATGAAAACATAAAAGGATAAAGCAATATAAAGTGAAAAGTCTCCCTCCCATTCTTGTTCTTCATCTACCCAGCATCCCCAACCTACTCAACCCCTGAAATTAGTTTCTTTTTTCTTTAATTTTTATTTATTTATTCACGATAGACACAGAGAGAGAGAGAGAGGCAGAGACACAGGCAGAGGGAGCAGCAGGCTCCATGCAGGGAGCCCGACGTGGGATTCGATCCCGGGTCTCCAGGATCACGCCCTAGGCCTAAGGCAGGCGCTTAAACCACTGAGCCACCCAGGCTGCCTTGAAATTAGTTAGTTTCTTATGTACACTTCCACAGTTTCTTCATTAAAATCAAGCAAATACTGATATAAATGTATATCTCCCCTTTAAATATAAAAACAAGTTATACAGAATTTAATTTGCAACTTTTCCCCCCAGTTAGTACATCTTGGTAGATGTACTCAGTACATTCACATGTAGAGTATGTCCTCAGGCTTTTTCACAATTCCATTTTTATTCTTTTGAATGATGTACCATAATCAATTTGACCAGTCAAGGGATATCTGTACTGTTTTCAATCTTCTTTTTTTTTACTTTTTTTTATTTATGATAGTCAGAGAGAGAGAGAGAGAGAGAGAGAGAGAGAGAGAGAGGCAGAGACATAGGCAGAGGGATAAGCAGGCTCCATGCACCGGGAGCCCGATGTGGGATTCGATCCCGGGTCTCCAGGATCGCGCCCTGGGCCAAAGGCAGGCGCCAAACCGCTGCGCCACCCAGGGATCCCTGTTTTCAATCTTCTGCTGTTAAAAACAATGTTGCGGGGGCCAGCCCCGGTGGCGCGGCGGTTTAGCGCAGCCTGCAGCCTGGGGTGTGATCCTGGAGACCCGGGATCAAGTCCCACATTGGGCTCGCTGCATGGAGCCTGCTTCTCCCTCTGCCTGTGTCTCTGCCTCTCTCTCTCTCTGTGTCTCTATGAATAAATAAATAAAATTTAAAAAACATGGGATCCCTGGGTGGCGCAGCGGTTTGGCGCCTGCCTTTGGCCCAGGGCCCGATCCTGGAGACCTGGGATAGAATCCCACGTCGGGCTCCCAGTGCATGGAGCCTGCTTCTCTCTCTCTCTCTCTCTTGTGTGTGTGTGTGTGTGTGTGACTATCATAAATCAATAAAAATAATAAAAAAAAACAATGTTGCAGTAAATAACCTTGTATATATGTCATTTAATATATTTTTACTTTCTATTGATGAGTTACTTTCTATAGAGGTTATATATTTTTTAAGATTGTATTTGTTTATTCATGAGAGACACACAGAGAGAGGCAGAGACACAGGCAGAGGGAGAAGCAGGCTCCCTGCAGGGAGCCCAAAATGGGACTTGATCCTGGGACCCCAGGGTCACGCCCTGAGCCTAAGGCAGACGCTTAACCACTGAGCCACCCAGGGATCCCTCCAGGAGCACTTCTTCAGGAAAGCCTCTCGATACCCTAGTCAGGTGAGATCCCTATGCTGTAGCCTCTGTAGAATCTTGCCTTTCCTTTAGCACACCTATCTTATGAATCAATTGGTAAGGACTTGGTTAGCATCAGTTTCCTACATTAGACTGTAAGCTTCTTGAGAACAGTGCTCTTCATTAACACTTAACACTTCACACAGTGCCTGGTACAGGAGGGTATTAATGAATAAACTATTAAATGAATAACTACATGAATGAATGAATGAATGAATGAATGAATGAATGAACAAAGAGGCGTAGAACATGGTGGTTCTAGTATCAGTCAGACAGCTTCTGGATTCAAATTCTGGCTTTGCTACCTATTGTGTGACCCTGAATAAAACCTGTCAGACCAGGCACCTGGGTGGCTCAGTGGTTGAGCGTCTGCCTTTGTCTCAGGGCGTGACCTCAGGGTCCTGGGTTCGAGTCCCTTATTGGCTCCCCGCAGGGAGCCTACTTCTCCCTCTGCCTGTGTCTCTGCCTGTTTTCTGTGTCTCTCATGAATAAATAAATAAAATCTTAAAGAAAAAAAATTTAAATAAACCCCTTGGACCATCAGTTCTCTCATCTGCAAAATAGTGGCAACAGTACCGACCTCACAGGGTGGTTGGAATGAGATAAGCATGTACCTGTCACATAAGAAGCACATATCATATGCTTGTATGTATTACTATCATGATTCTCAATGTTATGAGTGATTATCATTAGACTAGCAGGATCTTAACCTCTCTGCAGGAGCCTCATAGAGTAACCAACGTCCTCCATATGTCTCTTCACCTCCTTGCTAGAGTTAGGAAATTCTTCCCCAGATTTAAACTCAAATTATCTTTTTCAAGGTTTTATTTATTTATTTGAAAGGGAGAATGTGCATGCATGCGCCTTCGCACACATGGATGAGCAGGGGAGGGGCAGAGGCAGAGGGAAAGGCGACTTCACGCAGAGCTGGGTGCCTGGCGTGGGGCTCTTCCCGGAATTCTGAGATCATGACCTGAGCTGAAGGCAGACACTTAAGTGACTGAGCATCCATGTGCCCCTAAACTCAGATTATTTTTAAAGCATTAAACGATGCTTTTAAAGGTCATTTTAGGAGCACCTGAGTGGCTCAGTGGTGGAGCGTCTGCCTTCAGCTCAGGTCATGGTCGCCAGGTTCCAGGATCAAGTCCAACATCGGGTTCCCCATGGGGAGCCTGCTTCTCCCTCTGCCTGTGTCTGTGCCTCTGTGTGTGTCTCTTGTGAATAAATAAATAAAATCTTTATAAAAATAAAAATAAAAAATAAAGCTCATTTCAGCTCACTCATTAAGTCAATAATATTTACCATGCTTCTGTCATTCATTCATTCAACAAATTATTTCTTAAGCTAGCCAGGTAGTGTTCTAAGCACTGGGATTAAA